CAATACAGAAATAATATGCCCAAAACACCGGGCTCTTACATGATCAAATCAAGAAGAAAAACGCTATCTAAATGCCAAAAACAGGAAATTTTCCAACCCGCAAACCCATATTTCGAAAATATGAAAACGCCCACCAAAAACATGGATTTTGATCCCAAAAAATCAGAACATCAACCTGGCTCTGATACCAATTGAAAGGATGTGAATCCCGGAGCGGAAGTGGACCGTTGTTCGTGATATTTGGGAAACAAAATCAAAGCGGTTAAGAAGAAAATACAGTGGAAAACTTTACCTTTGAAGAACGTTTCTTCAACGATTTCCGAACGAACACCACCAAACGATCTTCCTTGATATCCTCTTGGGTTTCGAGAACATGCTTGTGGGAGCGTTTCTTTGGAACGAGAGGGAGAGTTTGATTGAGAGCTTGAGAGAGATTGGGAGTTCTCTATTTTTCTTGTTTTGTATCCATCGCAGAAGTGTTCTGCAACCCAAGGAAAAAGAATGGCGTGGGTAACTCCCCACTCCCCTACAAATTTGCAGGGGAGTTTAATATTATTATTAATATTAATAATATATAACATATATAATATATATATATATATATATATATATAAATAAATAATTAATCATATTAATTAATAAATATTAATTAATTATTAATCTAATTAATAATTAATTAACATATATATATATATCAAATAATTAACACTTAATTATTTATCACATAAATAAAATCATATTATATAGTATTTCTCTCGTATAACCTATAGTTTTAATGTACATCTTATGCACATTATTTTTAACCTATATTTTTAATATGAATCTTATTCATATTAATTTTATTTGAATCTCATTCAAATAATTTCTCTCATAATATATAGTTTTAATTTAGATATACATATAATCCCTTATGAAATTTGAACAGTTCAAATTCTTCCAAAAACTTGATTCTCGTTTTACCCGTTATGAGCTAGCAAGGGACTTAATGGACCTACAGATCAGAAGCTTCAACGATGCAAGATTAATCGGTCCAAATCATTGACCGAGTTAATCAAGATTCGTTAACTACAGGTCATTCCACTAAAGACCCGCAGTTGCACTCTTCTCACTGCAGAATGTTTTCGTGTCCATGGATATACGACCATTAATGACGAGTCAATCCTTCACGAGTGCTCGTAACTCAAGTTGGGTCAAATTACCGTTTTACGCCTGAGTTACATCTTACTCCTTAAATACCACTGCTCCTCTAATGAACAACCCGGTTATGGTCAGACCAATAACCAGAAGTCTCTCTCAGGCCAATGAGAGGGTGGGGCCCCTTGTTCAAGTCCCGGAGTCGGCATTTAAAGGAACACTCATCTACTCCCCTAAAGTCGGAGAGGAGGAATTTCATCTTGTGAAGTTATGTTCCCAACTCCTCACTCGGTCTCGTCCCCAAAATGGTAGAAATGTTGAGTCGGCAACTTGGGCCACTCTCACCCATACAGATCAAAGGACGAGCCCTCATGGGCAGGAGTCCATAACTCACTCAGGAATGAGAATGAGTTGCCTGGTCATCCTAAGAAATAACAACCTATTAGTTAACGGTGTTACATCTAAAGATTGCCTATTTCGTGGTCCGGTCTTATACAAACTCATTGTATAGGATACCCCCACTCGCATGTCTCCACACGAACGACCTGGATCGAGTCGTCTGTAACCTTTACAGAGTGGACCGTATCCATAGTGTTGCCAGGATAAGGTACCCAGCCTTATCCATATACTATAGACCCTTTAGGTTATTCACGGGACATTATCCATTCATATATCAGGGGTATATCAAATATATACCCCGTATATCAACTATATACCCAGTATATATACTGTCCCGATTATATCAAAAATAACCTTGGATGTTTAGTTTATTGGATTTTGGACAATGCAAAGCTATAAATTCAACAAAAAAATTTATTGAATAAAACTTTATTGAATATACATTTGTTTTTACATAAATGCAAACTACGAGTTTTGGGCAACACAAAGGAGAGCCCAAGCAGAAGCAAACATGAATCCGCGCAACCCTAATCCGCACCAGCCACCGAATGTGAGGATTGAGAAAATAGTAGATGGGGTTCCTGTTGCTGCTAACGCTGAGGTAGCAGTGCCCTCTCTCAATGCTGTATTATTAGCAGATGACATCGACAGAGAAATCAGGGTGTATGCAGCTCCAGCATTTTATAATTTCAACCCAGTAATCACGGAGCCTAAAATTGTAGCCCCAAAGTTTAAACTAAAGCCTGTAATGTTTCAGATGCTCCAAACAGTGGGTCATTTTCATGGGCATCCTACTAAGGACCCGCATTCGCACCTGAAGTTTTTTATGAGGGTATGCAATTCGTTCAAGGATGAAGGAGAAACAACCCATATTCCAATATGTATAATCTCAGCTGGAGAAATCACCCAAACATCAGTTGGAGGGAAAATCAGGGAGGAAATAGTGTGGCACATTCATTGTTCCAGCATATCAGTAGAAAGGAAGTTATCACCTACGATTTGCGAATCAAGGTTTGGTGGTAGCACAGAAGCCCGCAGAATAATCGTTTGCATCATTAGAAAAGCTGATGAAGCAGTATATGGCCAATAATGACACTACTGTACAAAGCCAGGCCACATCACTAAGAAATCTAGAGCTGCAAGTAGGCTAGTTAGCAGCTGATTTGAAAAGCAAACCTTATGGAGCATTGCCGAGCGATACTGAAGTACCAAAGAGGGATGACAAAGAGCAATGTAAGGTTCTCACACTGCGAAGTGGGAAAGCATTACCTTCGCCACATACGAATGCTCTAGAGACTTTGAGCGAGCCTACTCTGAAAGAATCAGGAGAATCTTAGACAGTGAAGGATACTGAGCCAGTAGAGATAGTTTCACCTACTCCACCAATACAAATTATGGAGCAACCAAGGGAAGTTCGAGACTGTACTAGTGAGAAGGTCACCCCAATGGAGATTAACGCATCCAAGGCAAAATCAACGAAAACTAGAGTACTCAAAAAAAGAAAGCAGGCAGAACATGCATATGCTCCAGCAAAATACAGACCAACACCACCATATCCTAAGCGGTTGCAGAAGAAAGAGCAGAACGTTCAGTTTAAGAAGTTATTAGACGTGCTGAAGCAACTACATGTTAACATACCTTTTGTGGAAGCTCTAGAACAGATACCAAACTATGTGAGGTTCTTAAAGGAGATACTCATCAAGAAGAGAAAGCTGAGAGAGTGTGAGACTGTGGTGATGACCAAGGCCTGTAGCAATATCCTCACGAGCAAAATTCCAGCAAAGATGAAGGACCCTAGAAGCTTCACAATACCCATTTCCATTGGAGGACAGAAAATAGGGCTTGCATTATGTGATCTGGGAGCCAGCATCAATCTCATACCCTTATCCATCTACAACAAGCTCGGTATAGGAGAAGCGAGGCCTACGACAGTGACATTGCAACTTGCAGACCAATCACTCACACATCCGGAAGGGAAAATTGAAGATGTCTTGGTACAAGTTGATAAATTCATTTTTCCTATTGACTTTATTATTTTGGATTATGATGCCGATAAGGAGGTCCATATCATCATTAGGAGGCCGTTTCTTGCAACAGAGAGAGCGCTGGTAAACGTTCACAAAGGAAAGTTGACGATGCGAGTTCTAGATCAGGAAGTAAAATTCTCAGTATACGGCTCAATGATATTCCCAGCAGAAGAGTGTTTAGTGATAAAGATTCTGGATGAAGCATTAATGAAAGAGTTGGAAACATAAGGCCTAAAGTATGCCTACTTGGGTTCGTCAGATACTTTGCCGATCATTATAGCAGCAGCCCTACCCATGGAGAAGGAGCAGATGTTTCTGAGCGTACTAAAAGCCCATCAGAAGGCTATTAGATGGAATATTGTTGATATTAGGGGAATAAGCCCTAGCTTTTGCATGCATAAGATTGCGCTGGAAGAGGTATGCAAGAACTCCATAGAGCCCCAACATAGACTTAATCCAACAATGAAAGAAGTAGTGAAGAAGAAGATCATTAAGTGGTTAGACGCAGGTATCATTCCCAATTTCAGATAGCGTATGGGTAAGCCCAGTGCAATGTGTGCCTAAGAAATAAGGCATGACTGTGGTGGAGAATGCAAAGAATGAGTTGATACTCACGAGGACGGTGATAAAATGGCATATATGTATGGACTACCGCAAGCTGAATAAGGCCACAAAGAAAGATCATTTTCCTCTCCCCTTCATCGATCAAATGCTAGACCGACTTTCAGGACAGGAGTATTACTGTTTTCTAGATGGGTACAGTGGGTATAATCAAATTACAATAGCCCCGCAAGATCAGCAGAAGATGACATTTACTTACCTCTACAGAACATTTGCCTTCAGACGAATGTCATTTGGGCTTTGCAATACCCCAACAATGTTCAAAAGGTGAATGATGGTCATCTTCTCTGACTTGGTAGAATCAGTAGTTGAGGTATTTGTGGACGACTTTTCAGTGTTTAGGAAGTCATTTGCAGAGAGTCTGGACAATCTGAAGAAGGTGCTGCAAAGATGTGAAGAAACAAATCTAGTATTAGATTGGGAGAAATGTCACTTCATGGTGCAGGAGGGAATTGTGTTAGGACATAGAGTCTCTAGAAAAGGCATCGAAGTAGACTAGGCAAAGATGGAGGTAATAGAGAAATTGCCGCCACCTGTGAATGTCAAGGGCATCCGCAGCTTTTTAGGGCACACCGGTTTTTATCACATATTTATAAAAAAATTTTTGAAGACCTCTAAACCTTTTTGTTCTTTGCTTGAAAATGATAAAGAATTTAACTTCATATATGATTGTTTGCAGGCGCTCAACACACTGAAACATGATCTTAGCTATGCCCCAGTAATAACAGCACCAGATTGAACGCAGCCTTTTGAATTAACGTGCGATGCCAGCGACTATGTTGTGGGAGCAGTTCTTGCTCAATGCAAAGGAAAGTTGCTGCATCCAACATATTACACTAGCAACACCCCGGTAGAGGCATAGATCAATTACACCACCACAGACAAGGAATTATTAGCAGTGGTGTTCGCCTTTGAAAAGTTCAGAGCATATCTGGTAGGATCCAAGGTGACTGTCTATACATACCATGCAGTACTGAAATATTTGCTCACAAAGAAGGATGTTAACCCGAGGTTGATTCGCTGGATTCTGTCGTTGCAAGAGTTCAACATAGAAATCAAGGACAAGAAGGGAACGAAAAATTTGATTGCTGACCACGTGTACAGATTGACTGGCCTAGGAACCTCAAAGGAAGAATCAGAGATCAGAGGAACATTTCCAGATGAGCAGGTGTTGGCGATTGAAGTTCTGAATGAGGAAGAGGAGCCATGGTTCGCTGATTTAGCTAACGACATCGCTAGTGGAATATTTCCAGCTGATATGAACAAGCAACAGCTGAAGAAGTTTTTGCATGAGAGTAAATTCTATCTGTGGGACGATCCATTTCTCTACAAAGTTTGTCAAGACAAAATGATCAGAAGATGCAATGTCAATGCTGAAGCACGTCAGGTGTTGACCAAATGCCATTCTGCACCATATGGTGGGCACTTTGGAGGGCAGTGGACAGCAACAAAAGTTTTACAGAGTGGGTACTTCTGGCCGACCATTTTCAAAGATGCCTAAGAATTAGTTGAACACTGTAACGAATGTCAGAAGGTTGAAAATATCTCTAAGAGGTCTGAAATGCCTCTCACATACATCTTAGATGTAGAACTCTTCGATGTCTGGGGCGTGGATTTCATGGGGCTATTCCATCCATCAAATGGACATCTATTCATTCTGTTAGCAGTTGACTATGTATCCAAATGGGTCGAGGCAGTGGCATGCGCCAGCAATGATGCCAAAGTGGTCGCCAAGTTCTTGCACAAGCATATATTTACAAGGTTTGACACAACCAAAACCGTGATTAATGACGAAGGCTCCCACTTCATCAACAAAGTTGTAGCATCTCTGCTTGCTAAGTACAATATCAGGCATAAAGTCTCTACAGGTTACCATCCCCAATCTAATGGGCAAGCTGAGATATCCAATAGGGAGATCAAAGGAATTTTAGAGAAAGTAGTGAGTGGAAATAGATGAGACTGGTTAATGAATAAGCTAGATGATGCCTTATGGGCTTATCGCACTGCATTCAAAACTCCTCTGGGTACTTCTCCATACAAATTGATTTTTGCAAAACCATGTCACCTCCTGTTAGAGCTGGAGCATAAGGCATTCTGGGCCGTAACGAGGCTGAATTTGTATTATGCTGCAGCAGGACAAATGTGTCGCTTGCAATTATTAGAGTTGGAGGAGTTTCGCATAGATGTTTATGAAAATGCCAAAATATATAAGGAGAAAATAAAACGATGGCACGATGCGAGAATCCAGTCGCGGCAGTTTGAAAAAGGCTAGCAAGTATTGCTTTACAACTCGCGGCTGAAACTTTTCCCTGGGAAGCTCAAATCTAGATGGTCAGGACCATTCTTAGTCTCACATATGTACCATCATGGAGCCATTAAGGTACAAGAAATGGATTCAGGAAGAGAATTCACGGTAAACGGGCAGAGGTTAAAGCATTTCTATGGAGATAACGTGGTGCGAGATGCTGGAGCCCACCACTTCGCCACAGACTGAGGAAAATCTACAAAACCAATAAAGGAGCAGAATTTAATGCTAAATCATTTTCATGCTCCTGCAATTTAATTCTGCATTTTGGATAGTTTAATTTATTAGTATTTCATCTTTACAAATTAATTTCGTTAATGTTGCTTTGCAAGGGGATAATGTTGAAATCAAGCTAGAGTGTTTAACAAGTCAAGGTTGGAAGCAGCAGTAATGAAGTGGTGTCATTGACGTAGGCGCAGGAAGAGAGCAAGTGGCAGTGCTGCGACGTGGCAGGCGTGCAAGTGAGCTATTTAAAGTAAATACGGCTGCATCATTTCGAGGAGAGAGGTTAGTCTTTTCCACGATTTTGGGGAAAGGAAATTAATTATCACGATTTGGGGAAGATTTCTTTTGATTTTGGGAGGGAAATTTTGAATTGAGAATATTGGGGATCAATGCAAATCCCGGTTCTTTTGTTTTCCTTTTTAAGAGAGTGGATGCATTCATAGCCCAAAATAGCATTATCAACAATGTGCCTTTTCGGGATGAAAGTAATTTGAAAGGGAGATATAATCGCATCCAACACTCTTTTTATAGCACATATTACAAAGAGGAATAGGCTTTGTAATTCGACACTCGAAGGGGGGTCTTCATTTTTGGAATCAACACAATCATGGTGCCATTTAAAGCCCTGAAAATCCAACCTGTTATTAAGTATATTCAGGCAACAATCCAGAACCTCATTGCCCACAATATGCCAAAATTTCTTAAAGAAAATTCCTGAAAAACAGTTCGGCCTCAGGGCCTTATTTGGATGAATTTGGCTTTAAGCAATTAAAATCTCATCTTCACTAAACTTTTTTAGTAGCTCCCGATTAGAGTAAGCAGAAACCCGGGGCTCAACACAGCGAGCAACATTCAAAATATGAGATTCACTTGGGCGCGAAGAAGAAAAAAGGTCACAATCTGGACTTATCTTCCACCCAAGTACTTTGGTGATCAAACAACCCTTTATTTCATTCTTCCGCTTTCTATACAAAGCTTGATTATGGAACCACCTCGTATTACGATCTCCCCATTTGAGCATAAGTCCCCTCGAGCGTTGGCCAGTAAATCTTTTCTTCCTTCAGAATTTGCTCCATATCAGCTTCCGCCCTTTTGATTTCGACCTTACTTTTTGCACATGGTAGGTTTTGAATAGCTTTTTTCAAATTTGCCTAAGCTTTTTTAATTCTATTTCGGTAGTTCCCGCTTTTGTCCCTTCCAGCTAGAAAGAACCTTCGCACAATGCTGAAGCTTACCAACCAGCATATTAGAACTCCCATCAAACTGATCATTGGCCCACCCTTGATTAACTACTGATTCACAATTCGAGTCTTCCAGCCAAGTGTCTTCAAATCGGAAAATACGCTTGAGACCTTTTGGCGGATCGGGAGGTCTCATACAAATCCTAAGTTCCAAAGGCCTGTGATCTGAGGTTTTATAAGCCAAATGTCGAGTAGTACTATTAGGAAAGATCTCTGCCAGGCTGAGTTATAGAGAATTCGATCAAGTCTCTCAAAAACAGTTTTTCGTTAGGTCTCCTATCGCACCAAGTATAAATATCCCCAATATAACCCAGATCAACCAGATTACAATCATCCACTGCATGCCTGAAATCATTAATCAATTTATCATCTTTCGATCGGCCCCCCTTCTTCTCCTTGTGGTGTAGGATTCCGTTGAAATCACCACCAGTCAACCAAGGAGTTGAATCATTTCCTCGTAACCATCTCATCAAGTCCCACGATCTGCCCCTCTTCTCCTCCTCAAGGATCCCATAAAACCCAATCAAACGCCATTGTTGATTTTCAAAATCCACCCAACCATCTATGTGATTTAGGGAGAAAGAGATCAATTTGAAATCCCCTGCCACATAAAAGGGAGACCGCCACTCTTCCCCTTACAGTCCACAACCACACAATTCTGAAAGTCCAGCCAAGATTTGATGTTATACATTTTGTCTTTTGAAGCCTTTGTCTCAGATAGAATAAAAAACTAAGGGTTTCTCTCTTGTACTAAGTTAGACAGGCTTTGGAATGTTGTGGGGAACCCCACCCCACGAACATTCCAGAAAAGGCCTATCATTGTGATTGGCGGGGTT